AGATAATGGGGATGAGATGATGTTTTGACTCCTGGTGGGTCTGTCTGACCGTGATTATCGGTTCTGCTTGCTGGATTCAAAGCTGAGTCACTCCTTCATTTTTTGCACAGGCCTTCACAGGAAATTTAAGGAAAACTTAACCCCCTCTTCACATAAGTATGTGTGTTCTAAGATTGAAAATAATCGGGTTACCTTTCAGATTAATTCAGGTGCCCTATCTATCAGGTTATCAGTCCCCTTTCCCTCAGCCCACAGGCCTCCCTGCAGCCCCCAGGCTGAGAGGAACAGAACACGGGATGATGGTCTCTGTTGTGAGTTTGGAGTTTGCCAACATTCATAACAACTTTGGACTACGGCCACCTGGTAAACCTCCAGCGAAAATAAAAAGTACATTAGGGATGCCGACACAGAAGGGAGAGAAAACACCTAGAAAGTGTAGGATGAAAGCTTGTAGCAACTACATGAACTTGTGTTGTTCATTGGGTGGGTTAGGTATGTACCCGATGAAGAACACAAATTCATCTGCAGAGAAAAGGAAGGAAGATGCCTCACTAAGTTTTGTGGAGGGAAGTGTGGATACACTTGACATCCCAGAACCACAAACCCCACGGCCTTCCCTTCCCCGGTGCAGGGACCCAGGTCCCTCCTGGGTCTGGGGATTTCCAGGTTACTCCTGCTCTCCCCAGGGCCTCCTCTAGGGCCCAGCTCTTGGCTGGGGGGCCCAGGTGAGCTCCCTGCCAACTTGGGCTGTGTCCCTCCCTCCTCAGGAGTGCCCGGACCTACACCTACCTGTTCTCCCACCCCTCTCGCATTCCGTTGTACCCCAGCTGGATGGGCGCCGACCACATGACTGACCTCCCGTACGTGTATGGGTGGCCCTTCCACAACCCTCTGGGCTACCGGGCCCAAGACAGGACTGTCTCCCAGGCCATGATCGCCTACTGGACCAACTTTGCCAGAACTGGGTAAGGCGGGTGAGGCTGGGCCAGGCCTCCTGCCACCTGGGCCCACATGCCTGTCCCCTCACGTACCCTTAACCTCCTGAGCCCCATACCCCCTGTGTGTGAGGATAGAGCTCCTGGCTGGGCCCACATCATATACATGCCAAGGCTGTGCCCAGGAGACAGTGAGGCCCTGGAGGTTCGGGTCAGCATGGAGGTCTCCAGCCTCCTGTGAGCCCTCAGACCCCACACGGCCTTTTCCTCATCTGCAGGGACCCCAACCAGGGCCACTCGGCTGTGCCCACCCAATGGGAGCCCTACACCCAGGAAAACGGCAACTACCTGGAGATTAACAACAAGATGGACGGCCAGTCCATGAAGCAGCACCTGAGGAGCAGCTACCTGCAGTACTGGACCCAGACCTACCAGGCACTGCCCACTGTGAATGGAGACGGGGCCACCCTCGTGCCTTCCTCTGACGACTCTGAGGGCTCCCCTTGAGTCCCTCTCTGGTGACTCTGAGAGGGCTCAGATGTCCGCAGCCATTGGCTTCTAATGTCCCTGCCCCAGAGGTCACAGGTGGGACCCAGGGAGCCCACCTCCCTCCCCAGCTCTTCCTGAATAAAACCGCTTCTCTCTCTGGCAACCGTCTTTGCCCTCATGACCTCAGATGTCCGCCCAGGCTCTGCCTGTGTCCAGCTCAGGAAGTGGGGTGCCCCCCTCATTTCAGAGGAGGAAAGAGGGTCAGAGAAGCATCAGCGCCAGGGCTGAGCTCAGGCTGCGGGCCCTGATGGGGGAGTGGGTGGGACATGTGGGCAGCTGCCTCTGGAACACTGGGCCCAGCCTTGGATCCCCCTCAGGGTGGTGGGAGCAGGCTCTGTTTAAGGGGAATGGCCTGGGAGAGAAACGGATTCGCCTCCAGCTGGGTCCCAGGCAGAGACAGTAACGCTTCCCGCTGGGCTCAGAGCAGAGGGTACAGGGCTGGGCTTTGGGTGCCCACGGGCAGGGCCAGGGTGCTGCCTGCTGGCTCTGGCAGAGTCCGGAGGGTAGTGGGAGGCACAGGTCAGATGCAGGGCCATGGCCACCTCAGCAAGGCCTGGGACAGGGCACCGCCTGCACCGAGGGCTCCCCCATCCTGACCTCACATGGCCCAGGCGGTGGGCACTGTGGACACCCCCTGTTTTGGACAGATAATAGGCCTTGAGGGGGGTCATGTGCCCCAGGCCCTCACAGTAAGAACTCAAACCCAGGTCTGAGACTCAGGTGGAAACTGTGGAAACCCCCGTTGTAGACAGTTACTGTGAGACAGGCTCACCTGTCCGAACTCAGATGACAGACTCAGAGACAGAAGTGCGATGAAGGGAGACCTTGACTGCGCTCTGGAGAGCGGGTGTCCGCCCATTACACAGGCTCATCTGGGTGGGCACACAGAGCA